CTGTGCGATAGCGAGGTTTGTAGGGCAATCTCCAATCTAATTGAAAGTCTCCCAATATCAACTGTTGTAAGACTTCAACGTTTCCTTCACGCCCATTTCTATGGAGAGCAGCTGGTCGATCTCCACTGGCGTCTTGGTGTTTGTTCTGAATCTAATCACAAATGCCTCCGCCAATTGCGCCTATCAGGCTATGCTACCTTCTGGAAACCTTTCAAACCATTTTAAACCCAGGTCACCAAGGCCGGAAGGAAACAAGATATACATTAGGGCCTCGTTTCGTCGATACACGGCCATCACCTGACGAAAGTGGCTTAAGTGCATGTAGGGGTCTGACTTCCCTTCATAATAGTGAATTTGGGTTGGTGGAAGCCTATGGGTAACGATGCGTTCTCAATTGCCAGAACGAACGGCGAGCTCTACAACCTTGCTAATACTTTATCTGCTGGTTCGTAAGCAAGGCGTGGTACTGGCATCCCTACCTCGACACTCCCATATGTCCTAGGAGCCAATCGCTGTAAAGCTAAAACTCTACGAGGGTCGCGAGCCTGGGTGTCCTCCCTCCATCGGGCCCTCTCCTCTAGTGTACGCAAGTCTGCTAACCTAGGCAACTCCGTGTGCGTAGATGTCGTTTGGTGCGTGTGTGAGGGCCGATAACTGCTTTCCTCCGTATACGACCTCTCAGTCCTCGTTCTCTCAAACCTGGAGTAACGAGTCCTAGAGGTTCGTGATTGTGTGTCACCTGTCCTTAGGCTTTTGCTTTCTATCTGAGATGGTGTGACTTGCCTATCAAGATCTTCTAAGTGGCAAAGGTGCACTCTGCTCTTGCCCATCCCTTCTTCCGCCACCCTTTTGCCCTTTATCTGGTGCTTCATAGTCTCCATGTCTACCGCCACCCTCCTTATCAATTCATCTTGCTCCATCGCGCAATCCTCTAGTACCTGGGGATCCATCTTTCGCCTCTGTCTGTCAGGGTTTTGAGAGCGACGCGGACTTGAGCCCGTCTATCTCACATGTCTCTCCGTGGGTTTCGTCACTGGGGATCCAATTCTACCATGGGCAGGACAAAAGGTAGACCTTCGCATCTCCCGCCCCCTTCCGGGGTTTGCCCATCAATGGCAGAATGTAGTAAATCTTCATTGTGCGCCATTGAACTTAATGGAAGAAGAAACTTAATCAAAAGGTTTGTTCTTCGCCTTTTCCCACAGACGACGCCAATTGTATCAGCATGAAATAATCTGCTCATATAATCCTATTGATCAAATTTACACTCCTCCAAACGTCGTCGCTTTGCTACCTGAAAGCTCAAACGTGTGCTAGCCGGCGGGTGTGTGCCAGAAACCCCTCCGAAGCCTAAGTCAGCAACTAGACAATAGACAATAAGCTTTGTGTATTTTAGAGTAAGAATTGTGATACTTGCACATAGGTCCTGTCATGAGCTTTTATAGATTCCGCATGGCACAATCCTAGTAGGACTCCAATCCTCCTTATAAGAGTCCTCATATAGGAATCATACTTCCAAGGATAATACCTATCCTGATGACACCCTACTTACTACCAACCAGGTGAGATGGCTTGAACCTCCTTACCCCGGCTCGGTAGCAGCTCAACCGAGCTATCATGGCCTTGCCCCACACCAGACAGAACCAGGAATATTCAACCAAGATAACCAGTTCGGTACCCCGATCCTGCTTGGGTCAAACATAACCACCTCAATCCAAGCCTTGGGCCGAATATCCGTCCAGTCCATGACCGAGCTTACTCCATTCTCATTGCCGCCCACAGCGCAGCCCAATGACCAAGAGTGTGTACCTAGCTCGGTCCATTCAACAGATGGTCTTAGCTCGGCCTAATTTCGACATAAATTGCCCTCTCAATTAGTTTACCCAAAAAATATTTAATTGAGTTTGGTATTAGTTGAACTTTGTTGACTGGTGGCAAGTATATTTATTTGTCTCATTGGAAGTCCAAAGGACAACAATACACTTTGTATTGTTTATTGGCAAGTATATATATATATATATATCATATCTATTTTTCGGTGGGTTCATTGAAGCAGTGCTGTGTGGTAAAGACAGTCCAAGTCTTGGTGATCCATTTGGTTGTTGTCTCTGCCATGAGGTTCAAAGCTTTGTTTGGTTCTGCTTCGAAGGACTGTTTTTTGGGCAGCACTCTGTAGTTTTGGTGAGAGCTATTTTGGTCCATTATCTTGTGTCTTCTACATTGTCTCCATTGTAGTTGTTTTTAAACTTTGTATTGATATTGGAATCGGACTATGGTCCCATGAATGTACCTTATATTGAGGGAATCATATAAAAATCTGTACGAATGTTGATTTAATTTTTTTGCTTTATTTTATTTCCTTTCAATTGATTTACACTAGTGAAAAAATCATATATTTCCCTAATATTATTAATATATCCTCAAGTAGAATTTGATGGCTCGTGAGTCTTGATGTCTTTGAATAGGCTGGCTTGCTGTGTGCCTGCTCTTTTGTATTCTTACAAGAGGTTAACTTCTTTCTGATTTGCAAAAGCTTGAGACTGAAACTATACATCTACGCTCTGATATGAATGTGATCTTGCGTATTTTTGTAGTCATTGATGTTGCTGATATTGTTTCTTTCACTTTTTGTTTATGCATTTTGAAAAATGTACCTCTTTCATTACTCTTGATGAGTGACTTACAAAGATACTACAACTCTCGCTCTCTCTATTTCTTTTATCTTTCATGCATCAAGAACTTTGTGTCTTTAAACTAATGGCAACATTTTTTTGTTCCAAAAGAAAAAGTCAAATGGCAACATAGGCACAAGCATAGTGGTAATACACAGACTTGACATCTGCTGGTTTTTTGTCACCATTGTTACGCGATGATGTTTTTTTGATTTTGGACTTTGGATATATTCATTTGAATTTCAAATCACAGACTTGACATCTGCTCTTATTTATTTTAATTTTTTTAGAGGTAAATAAAAATTTAATAAGAAATTCACTTATATATAACATTTTTCGTTGTAAAAATTGAACCAAGACAATAGGAAGTGTAGATTATGTTATATTAAAGAAAATTAAGGCATGCTATGAAAGCAACATCATTTAAATACGAGTCTATTTGTTGCATGAGTATGCTTGGGATTTAGATTTAAACGAGGGGAGGTGGATTCACTATATCCTTGGTTGAAATTATCTATTTGGAAAGTACATGCATATCGGGAAAAAAAAAATACTGCTGTCTCAAAAAAATACATGGAATAAAAAAATATATATTGCTCAAAACGGACCAAGACAACAAAATTAAGACTTTATTTAGATATTGAATTTATTTAAGAAAAATAGATATTCACTTCATTTTCTTTTTCCTATGTATTATTTTCATTTGCAAAAATTCAAAATTTTAAAATTTGAACATAGCAAACGAGACTTGGGAAGTTAGACAAACAAAATGACTCGTATTGTGAGTTACATATTATGTGGGATGGGATGAATCTCAAAACTAAACTAATTCATGTCAGAAAATATAATCTAACCAATTAAATTATGTGGCACTCTTGCATATGATTAGAAACTAATTATAAACCTTTAAAATAAAAGGTTAAATATTACGGAATGTTTTAGTGGTAGGTGAAAACTCTTGACCTTCGGTAATGATAGAGACCCCCACAAAACACAACCCCACAACTCTCAAAATGATCTGAACCACTCATTTCACTGTCAGACACAATTCTCAAAAAAAATTCAAACACATCAATGGTCAATACATCAGTGGGGGTCCTCTTTTGCGGGGGTTCAAACATTTTTCTGCGACCTTTTATAAGGTATGGTGACATTGAGTCCCATTATCTACTCTATTATGTAAAAGGAAGGTCTGTGATGGTGTTGACAGGGAAGGGGGATCCTCTTTTGTGGGGGTCCCAAACATTTTTCCTTGACCTTTTATAAGGTATGGTGACATTGAGTCCCATTATCTACTCTATTATATAAAAGGAAGGTCTATGATGGTGTTGACAGGGAAGGTCTGCGTGTTGACACTTTAGTGTCACATATTTTGAATTTTTCCAAAATACCGAGTTTTTGTAAAAATATTATATAAAGAAGAGGACAAGACTCAAACCCATGACCATGAGTTTAATAATAAAGACTCTTACTATTTGAGTGACACACACAATATGAACATATTTCTTTGTCATTATTTTTATAATATTATTTTTTTTCAAGTTGCACATGCATCGCATGTGCAGACCGCTAATTTTTTAAATATGATAAGTCCTACCCAACACAAACATTTATTGGGTGACTACATGTGCTATGTAAAATAAAATGGTGAAATGGATCAAATACAGGTAAGATATGAAGTAAAGTGATAGTGATGGTGCAAATCATCACAAATGTAAACCTTACAAATGCTCAAAATAATCAAAAGTATTAAACTTTATAACCAAACCAAATTAAGCTTTGTGAATTACCTAAAACTCAAATATATATATATATATATATATATTAATATCTATCTAGTGCAAGCTAGTCCCTGTCATGTTTCATACACAGAGCAAGCTAGAAGAAATTCAAATATTATGGTAGAAAAATTACCAACTTATTTAAAAAATGGCCACCACTAAAATAATATAATATGAATCATGTGAACAATAGTAATTCTAGAAGAATTGTTTAATCTAGATGTAATCTTATTAAGAGCAAAAATATAAAGAACTAAGAAAAAATAAATATAAAAAAATGGTACCTTAATTGCACTTGATTTGCACAATAATGTTGCACCATGTTTGATGCAATTAAATTGAATGAAATATCACAACTTTCGGCTGAATTATGCATTCACTAAATGAGATTTTCAAATCATAATGTGTTAAACTGAGTCAACCAAATAAAAAATTCATGGAAATGATCCCCAACATCCTGTCCCCTTTCCCCTTGGCTAAAATTAACTTCCAGGGTTTTTTTTCATTGTCAAGGACAACAACAATAAAATATCATGGTATGATATAATTATGGAGAGAGAGCAACAGTATTATGAACTTTTAAATGTCTCAAACAAACGCAAAATAGTGATTCAAATTATAAATAATAATATGATACAAGAAGCTTAAGCCTTCATCATCATATTTTGGTTTTTAATTTCTTATATATGTCTTGCCAAACAGAACGAGAGAACAACCAGAACAAAAACAAGAAGGAAATCAAAAAAAACAGGAGAACTCCACAACCACTGGAATGTATCAACAAACAGAAGGAGGATGCAAAGAAACCCAAACTTCTAAGAACATGATCTCTCGGAAAGCTCTTTGGACCAACTCATGAACACCACGGTTGTATAATCTAGGATCTTCATGTTAAGCTTAGAATTAGGTAGGAAACTATGCAAATTATTTTGACAAAAACACTATTAAGATGAAAACATTACCTGAAGGTGCAAAATTGTTGAAGTTGCTCTTTGACCTCTCGATTCTGCAAATTCTCCCACCACTGCTGCTCTACTTGGATAAGTTTCAGATTCTCCGCATTATCTTTGCTGAATGGTAGTTTGAGCAAGGCTGGACAACTATGAATCTTGAGCTTCTCCAAGGCTGGCCACTTCAATGACTCATCTGTGCAAATACTTCCCAACTTTGGCAGGCCACAAAGTACTATTTTTCTCAATTTTGGCAAAAGTTCCTGATTTCCAGTGGTTGCAGATTGCTCGACTACTTCCACAATTTCTGGGCAGTCTTCAATCTTTAAACATTCAATTTCACGAATATGTTGAATCACAACCAAAGGAAAAATAATTCTCAACATTTGACAACTACTCAAAACCAGAGTCTTCAGTTTGGTTAGACTAGCAAGATCCACTCGATCATTCCAAATGTTTTGCAGCTTTGGTAAATTCTTCATGTATAAATGCTTTACGTTGGGCAATATTACAGTGTCCACAACTGTTTCAAGTGCACTACAACTTTCAATTTGACAACCTTGTACCTCTTTCATGCTTGGAATTCCCAAGTCTGATAGTTGCTTGATGTCCTTCTTGTTCACCAAATCGAATGCATCAACATTAGCGAGGACCTCAAAAATTGGATGATTGATGCCTTCACCATTGCAATATCTAACATACCTTTTGTATTCATAAAATTTAGGAATACAAGGGTATTTTGAGTCTGGGCAATCAATGAAAAATTGAAATGACCGGATGCGTCTGATGTTTCTCCATGAGCGGGTTTCCTCAATAAAAGTGTAAAGAATGTTTGCTTCAGGAACATTGATTCGGAGATCAGTAGTGGGAGTCTCCACCTCAATGACATCTACAACCTCATCTAAAAAGCAAAATTGAAGTTTTGTCAACTTTTTCAAAGTAACCACATTTTTTATGATATTCACTACCACCTTATTGGATTTGTGTCTCAGTGATTTCACATCAATGACCAATTCTTCCAATTTAGAAAGCTTGGAAATCACATTGCAATTAAACTCCACCTCTGTAGTATCATTTTCACCTTTGCATTTGGCAAAGGAAACTCGAAAATGCCTTAGACCATTCAAATTTCCAATATAAGACGGTATATTATTGAACCCACTGCCCTGGATATCAAGCACTTCAAGATGTTCAAGTTTTCCGAAACTAGATGGGAGTTCCTTCAAATATTCACAATACCTTAGATAAAGCACTTTGAGACCAATCACTTGTGATAGAGATGATGGTAATAACTCAATTCCTGTATGACACAAGTCCAAAACTTTGAGACTAGTCATTTGCTCAAAGAATGATGCAGGAATACTCTTCAAAGCCAAATTTTCCTGTAGGAAGAGTGTGGAGAGCGAGCCACAATTTGGGCAATCCGGTAACTTGTCAAACTTGTTTTCAATCAAAGAGATCCATATCTTTTCTCTCCAACATTTTGCATCTGGGGGCGTTTGTTGCACCAAAAGTTTATAGTTAGGATCATCTGACAAGATATATAAGAGTACCTGTCTGATACATTTGTGCATCATAACATACTTTCGACTCTCATCTTCCTCGAGTAATGACTTGTCCTTAAGGCTATTCAATATATGAATTCCATTGATATATGACTTTCTTGAATCACCACCATTTCCAAGGAAATCCTCAGCTTCCCAACATTCCAACAAACAATCTATGTAAATGGGAATTTCTTCAGGATATAACACACCATATAGTAAGCATTTCCTTTGAGTATCTTCCAGATCATCATGACAGAATTTTATCACATTCCTCAATTCTTTCAATTCATGTTGACCTTTTTCTGAAAATCTTTTCAAGCTTTTAAATCCTTCACTCCATAATTTCAAGTCTTTCTTTTGGAACACACTAGCTATTATATTTATTAAAAGTGGATGACCACCGCACTCTCTGATTATTTTCCACGCACATGCCTCTGCTTCACGATCATCTTTAAGTTTTGGGCAATTTGCTACATCTTGAAACATTCTGAATGATTCCTTAGGAGATAAATATGTCACCTTGACCACCCTATCCACTCTTGGGAAACGAATATGGCTCTCTCTAGTTGTCAATACGATCTTGCTCCCATTCTCACAAGGAGGGATTCCCATTTGATGTATATCAAGGTCTGCTTTGACGTCATCCAGAAGTAGCAAATACCTTTTTCCGTTCAACTCATTTGATGTTCTCTCGGCAATGTCATCAGAATCACTGCCTTCCATATCCACTTTCAACCTTTTAGCAATAGCTTTTTGCAACTGGCTCATGTCCAAATTCTCGTTGCTCTCCCCTGCTGAAACCTTTATCCACATGACCATATCAAATCTTTTGGCTACTTCTTCATGATTGTTCAAATTCTTCATAATGGCTGTTTTCCCAGTCCCCATCATTCCGGAGATTGCAATTCCTTTAACTTTGTCTTTTTTCAGCAAATCCAATGTCTCTTCTAGTGGCATTTGAAGTGTTGAAAACTTTTTTATATTTGGTGCTATCAGCTTGATAACAGGTTCCAGTGGTTGATCAACCAAAATACTTCCAAGTTGATTGCTATCCTCCAAAAGTTTTATTACTTTCTCACCCTTTTTTTTCATCTCATTGCTGAAATTTGAGCGTGGAAGAAAGCAAATTGTTTGTGAGCTTTCACTTTGTTTATCATATCTGGCTAGTAGTTTCTTCACTTCTTCTTCAGTCTTAATAACTCTGTGAATCCATTGATCATAAGTTTTAGAAGGCATCTTTATCTTTTGTCTTTGGATTGCATTTTGATGATCATCCCTTTTAGCACCTAACATTGCAATTGCCTCCTTTAATGCTGTGTAAATCTCCTCCATGTCATTTGAAGAGGCAATTGTGTCCACAATTGGAGCCCAGAATGCTGTCTTGGCTTGGGTCAATGCCCCCATTGCTGCTGCTGCTGCTGCTACTTCAGCCGTCATTGAGAAACACTGAACTTGTACCAGAGAAGTTCAAATAAGAAAAAGAAACAGTATCAGCAAGGATGGATTAAAACAGTCAGCCATGTACAGGAAATATATCATTTACATTTTTATTTTTATTTTTATTTTTATTTTTATTTTTTAACAGAATTCCCATATACTGGTGGCATTTTTTGAAACTATATGAATGGTTAATGGATCTTTCATTTGAAAAGGATAAACCTATAGTCAGCCAGATTGTTGGGCAACCATATTTGATTTTTCAATGTGTATACCATTGTTCCCCATTCATTCGCCAAAGTTCGCTGTCGCCAATTACAAAATACAAGTTAAATGTATTTATAGGAAATGCATTCTACTATAGATTGGAAATATATAGGATCTCTTCTATAATGACATGGAAGTGAAAATGTTTTTAATGATTAAGCCAACTTATAGGGTTTTTCTTTGTTGTTGATGTTGAAATGATAAAACCACAGAGTGTCACACCATTTTATATTATGTTTTTATGTTGTATATTATTTACTAATAACAATAATCTCTACACATCTCTTGCTTGGTTCCCACATTGGAATCTTAAAGCGTCTCTACACTTTTCACTTTTGGAGGAAATCCAATTTTTCACTTTCCCTAAAAGCAATTAGGTTCAAATTATTTGTTTGTTTCCCGCATCGAAATCTTGAGTATTTATTGAAGCTCTCACCTTCTACAAATAGAGGAGAGCTTTCTTTATTTTTTCAAGCTTCTATCTATTGGAAGTCCTTCTTTGAGAATATCCATGAGATGGAGCTTCTAGTTCTTTATAATGGGTTCTTGAAAACAGCTTAGATGTAGGCTCTCTTCTTTTCTGTTTGTTTTCTTTCGGATTTCTGGGTTAAGGTTCTTGTTGGAAAAACACCTAAGGAATCAGCCTTAGTATTGTTTTCTTTCATATTTTATGGGTAAAGGTTCTTGTTGGGAAAACATCTTTCATATTTTATGGGTTAAGATTTTTGTTGGAAAAACATCTAAGGAACACAACCTTAGTATTGTTTTCTTGATTAGGCATGTTATCTTGGAGATAAAATTTCCAATAATCTTTTCTGTATAACAGAGGGGAAATTACAATCTTAAAGAAAGCGTCCTGCCTATAATTCTATTCAATTTGTTTATTATACAACAATTAATAGTGCTATTCTTGTAGATTGCTATCACGTAGAATTTAGATGCTATAAATCACGGATACTTCTAGACAGGAGGCATTTCCATTTTTGTATAGCATTAGAGTATAATTGTTAAGATAAATACAAGAAAAAAAAATTCAATGCTTTGGTTACTTTCTATAGAAGAAAAAAACAGTAAAATTAAAGTACTACCATACTTTCTCAGAATCTATCTAATTACTATATCCTTAATGAGTCATATATGTGTCCCATATCCATAACTATACTTTTTAGAAAGCAAATAATAATCATATTAAATCATATTTCAATAATTAAACAAGTAAATTTCCGTACAAGTGTGAAAGAGGAAAAACATAAAGACAATATAAATTGTTTGTACTTGATGATATTAAAATGAAATTTATATAGGACCCACTAAAAAAAGTAAAGTAGTTGTTGCGGGATCTTAAACAAATACCTAATTTCTTAAAAATAGATTCTTACCATTCTTTGAGTTTATGTATAATACAATAGTAAAAATTATAAACATATTTTTTTTTTTTTTTTTTTTTTTTGCAAATGTATCTTAGCCATACCCCTATCTTATTTTCTTAGATTTTGTTATATCTCCTTGACCATATCATATCATATATTCTCAGTATCTCGTATGTATATCAGTACTTCATAACTTACATGCCAAGGACCATTATGGCCATTGGGCATTGCTTTAAGACCCCAATTAGAGGAGGCCTCATATTTTGTACTCTATATTTTTAAGTTATATGTACTTCAAAGCTTTTGACTTTTCACTAACCATTACAAAAAAAAAGCAGCTAAAGAGTATATTACTAATAATAATTTGTTAAGTAGAAATAAGATTGTTAAAAAAACAAAAAAACAAATGTAGTTATGCATCATATCAGTATTTAGCTATTGCTATACAAAGTCAATTTTTTACACAACTGCAGCACGTGGCACTATAAGGCTTGGGAGGTGGTGGACAGTGACAAGAGGGCGGTAAGAGGGGGTTGTTAAGTTAGGATTATGGTTTTGACATAGGTTAAATAAAGAAGATGAAGTGAAGAGCAACATAATATTTTCTCATTTGAATTCAACTTTGACTCATTTGTTTTTCCTATCCAATTTGAATAGAAAAATTAACATTTGAACTTTAGTTCAAAATTACATGAGGGTTTTTTTATCAAAATAAACTATAGATGGTAAAGTGCTTGAGCCTTAGAATATAAGGGGGGTAAAGTAAATTTTTTCAATCATTTTTCCCTTTCTTTAGTTGATCCCATTTGATAGGATTTAAAGTTTGATTTGATTTGGTTTAATTTGGTTATTTTTCCTTTCCTTTCCTTTCCTATTTTTATTTTTATTTTTGTAGATATGGGTAAAGTAAGTTAGCTCCCTTGATTGAAAAAAATATATATAATAAAAAATAAACCTCTACAAATGCAGGGTGGTCAACCACATTGGCAATTATAATAAATCTATGTGACATACTCTCTCTCTCTCTCTCTCTCACACATATATATATATATGTGAAGAGAGAGAGCAAATTCATCTTTTGTCATTATCCAAATTTAGTGAAACTTGACTATCTGATCAGAAGATAGAAATTTCACTATTTAAAAACAAAGAAAATAGTGAAATGATTTGTAATTTTAGGAAAAATTAGGAAAACATCCCTCTCCAACTTTGTGTATTAGGAGAGAGGTCCAAAATATTTTTTTTATTAGCTAAGGTCCCTCGATGAAATTTCTCTATGTGAAAATTGAAATTTCTCTATGTTGGGGCCGAAATTTCTTAGAGTCGAATTTTTCTGTGAAAATGTTGAAAACTCATAACTACTATGAAAATATTATATACCATTTATCTTATAAAATCTTAATATCAGGGATCTTTAAAAAAAATTCCTATTTTTTATTATTTTTTTAAATCAACCAAATATAACAATATATATTTTGACTGAATAATTATTCTATTCTATTTCATTCTAAAGAACCAAACACTACTTTAAAGTTATAGGATTAAGAGTTTGAGAGTTGAAAAGTAAAATAATTATCGTACCTTCAACTTTTATAAAATTAAATCTCAATCTTCCATAAAATCACTTCAAGATCAATGTAGAAAAATCCATCAAGACTCGCTGGAGGCTTTCCACGGAATCTCCTGTTCCAAAAATCAAAAGATCAAAGGTTCCGCCTTTTAGTTCAAGATCAATGTAGAAAAAAGGTTTGAGAGGAACAACCATAATTAAATAAATACATAAAATGAAGAAAAATAAAAGGCACACAAGTCATAAGTTTAATTTTAAAATTTTTGGAATAATAGTTCCAAATTCTATTTTTTTGGGCCAAAAGAACAAAATAATTTGAAAGATTATATTACCCTACTTATCTGTCTATTTGTCCACTGTCCAACTAACTCTCCAAGTGTCAACTATTTGTCCACGTGTCATCCCTTTATATGTCTACATGTCCCCTATTTGTCCCCTAATCTATCCATCTGTCCATATCACCATGAGCAAGGATCCTCTCTTTGCATTTCCTACTTGCAAGCCCATTGGGCCCACTTTTAGGCTTAATTTTGATAATCTAAACCGTTCATTTTTTAAGATTTTTTCAGTATATCATACATGTAAAAAATCAAGTTGATCGGATATCAGAAAGCATGTGTTCAGAAAACTGTTTATTAAATTCTTTAAAAAAATAGTTTTTAGTTCGAGTTTTCCAAACACATGTTTTCTGATATCAAGGAGGAAATGCAAGGAGGGGATCCTGATTCATATCATCACCACCACCACCACCACCAGTCGGCAAGGCAATGATCCAGCAATAGTGAGATAAAAATAGGAGGAAAATAAAAAAATCTTCAAAACAATAATTTATCTTTCTTACCAAATAATTTCATTAGTCGTGTTCTTATCTCCATAAAAAATCATTTCTAAGACCCAATGCATGGTCCCATAGAAATAGACATATCCCCAATAAATTCAAAAAAGAAAATAAGGATTTGGATTAAAAAAAAAAAGGCGGAAATTACATTGACATGGTGTCAGTGAAAAGTATTTAAAAAACATCACAAATATTAATAATTAATATCATAAATTTTTTCATTAATATATAATAATTTTTTAAAAACAACCCTGAGCAATAATTCCCCCTTAAAAAATGGTGAAAATCCAAAAATTTTGTTAGATTATAATTTTCAATTATTATTATTTTTTAGAACTACAAAATAGTCGTAAAGGCATCAAATTCTGTTAAACTCTAAACCAGAACATCAATATTCAAATATCAAATGAATCAATCCAAAGCATCAATTCGTGACGCATATAATAAACTTACGAATTTTAGAATCCTAGTAATTAATTGATGCCTATTATCTAGATCAGAAAAAAGAGAAAGCAACACTGAAGGAACCAAAAAAAAAAAAAAAAGAGCGAATATACCTTACCTATGCGTTGAATACAAAGCAACTGGAATCGGAAACAAAAGCCACTGGAATTTCGGTTATAATTTGTATGTTTCTGAAGGAAAATGGGTGGTGGGTGAAGGAGAATTAGGTAATCGGAGATGGCTCTCCTCTTACTTCAGCCAACAACATAGGAAAAGAAAATGAAAGAAAATTAAGAATCAAAATAGGAAAAGTAGCATTCATACTGGTTTTAGGGTCCACATTGCAGAGCGCGCCATTGCTGACTTGAGGAAGTCTAGTTATCTTTTGAGAAGTTTATTGGCGTGCACGATCAGCGTCAGGGATGCTTTACATGTATTGTAATTGTTCGAGAAAATAGAATCATGATTTTTTTTTGTTATTTATTGGAAAGCATAAGGAGCATATTAGTTTGTGATTGATGAGGATCACCGCCGTATGACTTCTCAAAACCAACAAATAATTTTTCCTTTTGCACAGATAAAAAAAAAAAAAAAAATTCCTTTTGCAGACCTCACTTGTGAATCAGTTTAGTTTTTAGTTTGAGCAAATATCATTTTATCACAATTTTTCATGTATTTTTTAATTTGATCTCCAAATTTTTTGATCGATACCTAAATGTTACACAATTAACCTGTTAATATACACTTTATTAGTCTATTTATTTATATTATTTTATAATTTTATATAATTTTATGTATTTATTTATATTTTAAATGTTTGTACATAAATTTTATAAATAATATATTTTAATGTTATATTATGAAATAGAACACCCCCACCGTCATATCCATCCAACATCATCATTATATATCTAATAATAAAAAATAAAAAAAATAAAATAAAAAATAAAAAATAAAAAAAAGAGAAAGACAATTGATCTGCCAACTTTCATCTAATGATTGTTTATTTTATTATTTGCTTTTGTTTTGCAGGTTTATAAATTGAAGAGCTCGGGTGAGGTACGGACACAGAAAGGGCGAGGACGGCAAGAGTGTTGGGAAGAATAATTAGTGAGAGTGTAGAGAGTGTTTCTTTTGTAGACTGATAATTCTACAATTATGTCGAACTAATTTCCTAATCTTAGGGTTAAGATGAAACCCTAATCAAGTGATTAGGGTAATTTGTATTTAATTTTGTAAAATTTTAATTGATTTGGGTACTATTGTATAAGTTAGATTTTTATACAAATATTGTTTTATCAAATTATGTGTTCATGAATACATATTATACAATTGATTTTCATGCTTGTGTAATAAAATTGTTAGACGAGTAATAGTGCATCAACCTTAGTTTAACGATAACAATCCGTACTAAGCGACGATGATTCATGACTTTCTAATTTTAAAACACAAATCTTTTTAAGTGATGTGTCCCGACCAAGACACATCGAATTACCTATTTCAATGAATTTCTACAATCTAAATACGAACAACTCCCAATTATAAAATTAGTGGCGGATTCTAAGCTCTAAGGTTTTCCTTTTATTATTTTCCATCTTCTAGTCAAAAATCTTTAAATTAAAGTCAATTTTCATAATTTTTGTGGTTTGACATCCGTTCTCAACCGGTAGACTTCGGAGTAGTTGTTATTACTCTATTTTAATTAATATATTTTGGTGTGCAAACGACCATATCACTTCCTATAATATCAATTTACCCCTTAAACTTTTGAAACTTTAATCGATTTGGTCTCTACCATTACATTTCGTCTATAATCAAACAGAACTTACTGACGTGATACCAAATTTCATTTGGAACTTTATTTTACCTCTCAAACTATACCTTAAAATTCAATTAGTCCCCCAAATATTAAATATATATATATATATATATATAATTAATATTTTTATCTCAAAAACGAAAATTTTAAATTTTAAATAAATAAATTGAGTATTAGTGATGTTGAGTATTCTTTAGATGCTAATTGAATTTTAAATTTTTTTTCTCACTCAATTTTGAAATTACTATTAGTCAATCAATTCTATTGAAATTAATTTAGAGAATAAACTAGTTACAATTGCACGCGCACACACATAGAGTAGCTTAGAAACTTTCGGCTCAATAAGTTTTTCTAGGATTGACTTGAAATAATTTGAGTCCTATGAAGCACATGTATGGGTATGAGTACTAGTACTAGTACGATACATGTACGTCAATACGGTAAAATCCAAAAAAAAAAGTAAGATAAGAGTACGGTTTGATACGTTTGTAAAAAAATATTAATTTTGAAGTAATACAAAAATTGATTAAATAGTTTAATTTGTTAAGATCCAACATACAATTGACATTTAATGCCAAAAGTATAGGTATAAGATAAACCAAAATGTTATTATATTAATAACTTACAAACAATAATTTAATTTTAAAATCATGCTAAGTATAAAACTAAAATGAAAAAAGAAGTCTAGTAAAAGAAATTTAATTTTTGTAGTAAAAGAAAACATTGTTTCGATTGAGGTATGACACAATTATGTTGAACGAATTTCCTAATCACTTTATTAGAGTTTCATCTTAACTATAAGATTAGGAAATTAATTCCACATAATTGTGGAACTATCACACTACAAAAGAAACACTCTACACTCTCTCACTGATTTTTCTTCCTAGCTCGCTTGCTATTCTCTTCCCGTCCGTGTGTCCATGTCTCACCCGAGCTCCTCAATTTATAAACCTGCAAAACAAATCAAATAATAAAATAAACAATAATTAGATGGAAGTGGCGGACCAACTTTCTTTCTCCATTTTCTTTTCTTTTTCTTTTGTCTTTTCTTTTTCTTTTGATTATTATTTATATCAATAATGATTCATCCCACTTATTTGGGAACACTAATTAACCACTAATGAGGTGAAAATTTAAAAAAAAAAAAAAAACACAAGAGCAAAACATCCCATCATGTGGGACCCACACCACTTTAGAGCTACTAGTGCTCCTCTTTTTAGTGGTTTCACTCATTTTGTTATGTATATAATGATGATGTTGGATGGATATGACGGTGGGTGAATCACCGAAAGATTTTTATTTTTTATTTTATTTATAATATAATATTAAAATATATTATTTATAATAATTTATGTACAAATGTTCAAAATATGCATAAATACATAAAATCACACAAAATTATAAAATAATACAAATAAATAGACTAATAAAATATATATTAGTGGATTAAATGTGTAACATTTAGACACCGATCAAAAAGTTTGGAGATCAAATTGAAAAACGCATGAAAGGTTGGGATAAAATGATATTTGCCCGAACTAAAAACTAAATTGATTCGGACAAGCAAGATCTGCAAAAGAAAAAATTATTAATTGGTCTTGAAAAGTCAACTGACGGTGATTCTCACCAATCACAAACTATTATATTCCCTTATATTTTTCAATCAATCACATGAAATCGTAAGTTTTATTCTCTCTACTAATTGCAATGACGCTAATCATGCACCAAGCAATAACGTCTCAAAAGAGAACTAGACTTCCCCAAGTTAGCGTGGCGCTCTCTGTAATGTGGACCCTAAAACCAGTTGAGTGCTACTTTTCCTATTTTGATTGTTAATTTTCTTTCATTTTCTTTTAAAAGAAGAATCATTTGGATCAGAATTAAGTCCTTTTTGTGTATGTTGTTGGCTGAAGTAAGAGGAGAGCCATCTCTGATTACCTAATTCCCCTTCACCCACCACCCATTTTCCTTCAGAAACATACAAATTGTAACCGAAATTCCAGTGGCTTGTGTTTCCGATTCCAGTGGCCTTGCATTCAACGCATAGATAAGGTATATTCGCTCTTTTATTTCTCTTTTTCTTTTTTTTGTTCCTTCAGCGTTGCTTTCTCTTTTTTCTGATCTAGATAATAGGCATCAATTAATTACTAGGATTCTAAAATTCATAAGTTTATAATATGCGTCATGAATTGATGCTTTGGATTGATTCAGTCTCATTTCGAAAGGATAGCTAAGCAGAGGCTTTACTATGCGGACTGGGTCAGCGGACAGATAGGAAGAAGCTTTTAAAGTCAAGTTGAGACTTGGCGCAAGGAGCAGTCCGCGGCAATCCCAATTCAATGCTCTAGGCAATCCATCTCAGAGTGAGTTATGAACAGCTTGGGAGGAAGACCTTCGGGTCTTAGTCCTATGATTATCAAGGAAAAAGAACACGAGGAAGAAGGTACGGCGCCCTCACCTTATTAAGAAGGAATTCACCAATATTTGAATATTGATGTTCTGGTTTAGAGTTTAACAGAATTTGATGCCTTTACGACTATTTTTTAGTTCTAAAAAAAGAAAAAATTAATTCAAAATTTATGGATTTTCACCAGTTTTTTAAGGGGGAATTATTGCTCAGGGTGGTTTTTAAAAAATTTCTTATATATTAATGACAAAGATTATGATATTAATTATTAATATTTGTGATGTTTTCTACTTTCTTGTAAATACATTTCATTGACACCCCCCGCCCCCCACACACACACACACTTTTTTAATCCAAATCCTTATTTTCTTTTTTGAATTTATTGGGGATAAGTCTATTTCTATGGGATCATGCATTGGGTCTTAGAATTGATTTTTTATGGAGATAAGAACATGACTAATGAAATTATTTGGTGAGAAAAATAAATTATTGTTTTTTTTCCCTATTTTTATCCCACTATTGCTGGATTATTGCCTTCCGGCTAGTGGTGGTGGTGGTGATATGAACAGATGGATAGATTAGGGGACAAATGGTGATATGTAGACAAATAAAGGGATGACACATGGATAACTAGTTGACACTTAGAGAGTTAGTTGGACAGTTGACAAATAAACAGATAAGTAAGGTAATATGATCTTTCAAATTCTTTTGTTATTTTGGCTCAAAAGAATAGAATTTCGAACTATTATTTCAAAAAAAATTAAATTAAACTTATGACTTGTGTGCCTATTATTTTTCTGCATTTTATGTATTTATTTATTTATGGTTTTTCCTCTCAAACCTTTTTTCCCCTAACAAATCTTGAACTAAAAGGCGGAACCTTTGGTCTTATGATTTTTGGAACAGGAAATTCCGTGGAAAGCCCCCAACGTGTCTGAATGGATTTTTCTACATTGATCTTGAAGTGATTTTACAGAAGATTGAGATTTAATTTTACAAAAGTTGAAGGTATAATAATTATTTCACTTTTTAACTCTCAGACCCTTAATCCTATTTTCGTTCATTAGAATGGAATAGAATAGAATAGAATAATTATTCAGCCAAAATATATATTGTTATTATTTGGTTGATTTAAAAAAATAAATAAATAATATATTATAAATGAAATTATCATTTATCATTGTAAGGGAATTATTATTACATAGGTGAGCTTAAAGTAAAGAGAATTTTTTTTAAGATCTCTGATATTAAGATTTTATAAGATAAAAGACATACAATATTTTCATAGTCGTTGGGGTCCCTCACTATTTTCATAGAGAAAATTAGACTCAAAAAAATTTGTGCCTGACTCAGAAATTTCAACCCCGACATAGAGAAATTTCAAAATTTCTCTGGTATGATCACATAAAAATTTCATCGAGGAACCTTAGCTAATAAAAAAAACATCTTGGACCTCTCCTACTATACAAAGTTAGAGAAGGATGTTTCACTAATTTTCTCTAATAATAATAATTATTATTACTATTATTATTTATTTATTATTTTGATTGCTTGTTTTTCATTGACTCTACGTTGTGAATGGCAAAGAAAAGTCATATATATTGGTCGTTCCCGGCAAAGAAAAGTCATAAATATTGGTCGTTCCCTTGTCTTCTTTGATTGGTTTCCATTGCTCATCATTATTAGCATTTGCTTCTGAAGCAGCAAAAGTGAGTTTCTGGGATTGGTAAGGTTCAATTGGGGTCCTGTCGTATTGTAAATATTTCTTTCCTTCATTCCTCTTGCTTTGCTTTTATTTTGCATTTGAAGTTTGGTCATCAATATTTTATTTTACTTTTTATTTTTTTTTAGAAAAGATCTTAAAAGGAAGTGAACCAAGCTTGCATGAATACCGTGTCCAATCTTCAAACACTTTTGCTGTGAAAAGTCCCTAATAAGTGCATAATATCTTAAATTTGAAGTGGGGCAACTATGGAAATTATGCAACATTTCTAGTCTCAAGACCCTTACATTGTATTTGGTAGGGAGATTTAAGAAGGGATTTGGAAAGGAAAAGAGAAAGAAAAAAGATGGATGAAATATGATTAAAATTTACTTACATTTCATCTAATTTTACACACATTTTCCTTTCCTTTTCTAAATCTTTTCTCAAATTTCTCAACCAAACACAACGTTGGAATTTAGTCAAGAAGCCTAGATCTCCCAAAAGTTTCCACGCTTCTCTTATAATTCACTCCTAACCTCCCAAATTTTTCCATCTTTCTCTTATAATTCACTCTCAACTATTAGATCATATAAAAATTTTGGCGTACATAAATTTTATGACATGATTTAATAATTGAAAATCCATTAACACAAGAAACATCATGCATAATGATGCAAACATCATGCATCATGCATAAGACGTTCACCACCTGAAATTCCACCTGGTGGGTTATTGTTCTTGCCCTTATTAGAAAAAGGATTTTTCCCAGAGGAAAAATCGGGTTAGAATTAAAGCCATACAATGGTGCATCCTGCAGGATGCAGGTCAACGTGTGACAATCCTAACTTTTGAGCAACCTGTTGTACGTGACCTCTGAAAAGTAGTCTTCATCCACCAGTATCCTATTGACGATAAATTCTCCAATTTGTAAGGTTACCACTAAGGCGTCACTGTGTGGATGTTGAATTCACAACAAGTCTTCATCGGAAAACGAGATCCTTACTTCTAAAGAACATATTCTCTTTGCGGAGCCTTCGGACAAGGCCATCACTTCTCTTAAGTGTGCCGACCTTCTGATCTCTCTCCTAACTTGATTTATCTATTTCCTTAGGGAGATCAAATATGTCATGTCGATGGTTGCCGTTAGCTGGGTGTTTCCTTCCTTGTCTCCATGCTTTTTTTTGTGGTCTGCAGAATGATCAACGAAGTTCGTAAATGACTGTTCTGTATTAACTCTTCTAGGAATTGCTTCAATGCCTTGTAATCTTTGGTGAGGTGTCTGCAGTCCTTGTGGTAGGAGCACCGCAACCTTCGATTTCGAAGAGATGGGTTTCCGATCATTTTTGGGGGCCACAAGAAGTAGGGTTCATTCTAGATTTTCATCAGTATCCGATATATCAGCTGTACGAAAGTGGTAACCACTACTCTGAAGGCTTCCTTTCGTAGCTTAGGCTATTTGGCGATTACATCTGACTCCTTCTTTTAGGATCATGAGCTTTCCTTCCTTCTTTCTACGGAGTTTTCGGCAGAAGGCATGCGGGCTTTAGTTCTTCGGATCTTCGTAGATCATCTTTGATCTTGCAATGTTGCTCTACTCGGCTCATTAAGCTACCCACATCAATGAGAGGCATCTTAGTCAAGGATTGATGAAGCTTATTGGTCGACTGCAAGCCTAGCTTAAATGAGGCAACCGCTAGCTGTTCATTATAGTTGTCGATCTCATTATAAGCTGCCTAGTATTTGCTAGCATAATCTCATAAACTCTCTATTTCTTTCTTCTTCATGGAAAAGAGTACGTCCACCTCCTTCAGTGGTCAGCTATTAGTAATAAAGAGTGAAATGAATGCCTGTTGAAGCTACTTCCAGTTATTGATTGATCTGGCTTCCAGCTTGTAGTACCATCAAATAGTCATCTCTCCCAAGCTTACGGAGAACATTCTACACATGATCGGTCCATTGTTGCTTCATAAGGTCATAGCCTGCGTGTAGTGCTAGATATGGTTGGTCGAATCTCCTTTGTCGTTGTACCGGCTAAACTTCAAAGGAGTAAATCTCTTTGGCGGATCAATGCTCTCAATTGCTTAAGAGAACGGGGAGGCAATTTTCTATGTAAAAAGCTTTCTTTGAATCCTCTTGTATGTTGGTCGAGCTAGCTCCTTAGGTCGTTTTTCTGGTGCTCCAGTGAGTCATCCCGTTTGGCAACTTGGCGATTCTTTCTGTTTGATCAAGATGGTTGCTGGCAGTTTGTCCGGTGGCCTCCTGGGAGACAACCCTCTTTTATCGAGCTCTTCATACTTCGGTTGTCTTTCTTTAGGCTTTTGGTCCCCTCCAAGCTATTCGTAACTCTTCCTTGAGAGCCTCGACCTGAGCTAGAAGCTGATTTACAAGTTGGATTTACTGGTTATCATTGTCTGGTGAGGGAGTTACTCTTCCCGAATCCACTAGTGCCATTTTCTAGTCGTGGCCAAAATTTTGACCGAGCGTATTGGCCACCAAAGTATTCTGATGATCACTTGGTATCGCTTCTAGAGAGGTATGAGCACTTATCTTCTCGTCGTTCCCATAGGCAGCGCCAATTGTGGAAGGTAGAATTCTTCTCCACAAGGAAAGCGAGATGACGTGTCCCTTTCTTTAATCTATCAAGAGAAACCAAAACATTCGTGATCACCCCTGACCAGGATTCGTCGAGAGGACCCTCCGACAGTTAAGTTAGAATACTATTTAGCCACGAATATTGTATTTTAAAAGGGTTATTGAATACCTCCGGTTTGTCTTCTTTACTTCACCTACTTTGCCATTATAGTTTTTCTGACTTAAATCTCATCCGTTAGATTTAATGTTTGATTTAAGGGTATTACCCGTTCCTCGCTTTGGTCGGGCAAGTGGTCAAGTTGTTTTTGTCTTTGATCTTTGGATCATCCTCCTATAGATGGTTTAGATTATGTCAGATGTTAGTGGCCAGTTTGCCAAGTGTTGTGTTCTTTGATTCAGGTTGATCGAACGAACTTACCATCTAGTAGGCCCAACCTATACTCATGTATTTATTGCTTTGATATTTCTACTGTTGAATGAAAACAAATTTGATGTTTCTCCTACATTATGTTGATTCCATTCTACAAGAAGATTTTTATTTTTCATTGCTCCTCACGCTCTCAGCCATGAGTTATTGAAATGCCAGTTGTCTCTAATGGTCTCCTTATAAATTCATTTAGGCCTTCCCTTTGTTTTGGGCAACTTTGCCTAATTGCTTCAGGCTTAGGCCAATATTTTACCCCTCCACATATCCTATCATTGTAATGCCCCAAAAATTACCATCCAGTTTATAATTAAATCCATCAAATATTTTCCAATGAATACCATTAAAGAACAAAATCTTGTACTAAAAATAATCTCTTTATCATGGTACTATTCCAAGTGAAATAAACATCATTGTCCATTAACATACAATTATGAATGATAACAGTTCAGAGGATAAAAGAATGCAAAAAAAAAGTTCCCTAAAGGGATACACATTTTCAAGGATAGTCCTTGATTGTACAAAAATAGACATTCACTCCCAAACCACAAAATAGCTTTGAAGCTTCAACAAGTAACATCCAGTGAGCCTTCGTGCTCTAGTCAAAATAGATCCATCGCCATGTCTTTTTGGCGAAATCACACCATCATTTCTTGAAATGTTGTTAGTGATAGGAGAGGGAGGGAAGGGGGTAATGCCCAATAGGAATACATTTAACAGAATATATAAATAATCAAGATGCATATGATCATGCCATGCATTTTTTGCAAAACCTATAATTTTTTTTTTCTTTTAAAACCAAAAATGCTCAATGCATAATTTCCATTCAAAATCTCATGCACAACCATAAGGTGGTAAATATGCTATGACGTCTTAAGCAAGAGCCGCAAACCATACATACATATATAGATTTATGTACTAAAAATATTTTCACATTTGTCGACTCTAAAAACGGCAGGGCGATGGGCACCCAAAGCCTTTCCTTTCCACATTTGTTGATGGCGAGCTCGTGAACACCCAAAACCATGTTTTTCCACATTTGTTGACTCTAAAAACAGAGGACTCGTGGACACTCAAAAACCTTTTCCCATATTCGTCCGGCGATGTGCGCAAGACAGGACAATTGGGCATCTTGGCTCCCCGCGCGGGTACCAACTACAACATACAACCCATTATCAAAGACCCGACTCAACTACTCGGACTCATACGCTATTTATCCCCTTCCGACACTTTCCAAACATCCACATAATTGTAGGATCGCAAGAGAAATTATGCTGCACATGATGC